AGTTGTACTGTAACAGTCGCCGAGTCGAGTTGTACTGAGTCAGTCAGTGAGTCCTGGAGCTACCGCCGAGTTAGCCAGCAACTAGTCAGTTGTATTCTGGCATTTGGAGTGTACTAATTGTGATACTGCAGATAGCAGTAACCGTAAATCTGTAATTTGGGTGATTGTAAGTGCGAATGTGAAATAAAATTCGCTACATCGAATACATTGAGAATTTATTTGTCGCGATATACGCCCGATACGCGACAACTGGTGTCAGAAGTGGGATCAGTAACGCAAAACACGTTACAATATTATGTATCATAACTTTTGAACTATATGAGGTATAATTATAAATTTTTCACTGAAATCATCTTAAAAGATGGTTTTATAATCTTACCTTATAATATGAGCGCCCTCTATCTGAGCGATGGAAGCAAGTGGATTAGAATTTGAGTTTCGTATGGTATTTCTTCAAACATCCATCTAACCACAACCCTGCCTCACATTCACTACATCAAAAATGAATTCTTTCCTTTTACCATGTTTTGCGCACACCACACATCTATTTTGAGGCTTTGCTTTTTTCCTTTGGCTGGAATACGCTGCAGGAAATGTCATTCTGTGAGTCTTTTAGGCTGCGGCTCAACTGACGGACGGCCGTATACAGGATGAAGAAAACCAGAACTGTGATTTTCTGTGAGGGCTTGTGCTAGTGAAAGTCTGAACTTTAGCGTGCCCATGTTTTTATTATTCGGGAGACACCGATATATGTCCATTGCGTTATGTATTGCTACCTTGAGTATCCTCTTGAATAACTTCTGATACCACTTAGTGCTCTTCTTTCGTTCAAGCAAGTACGGCTATAGCATTTGATCCATCAGATCCACTCCTAGCATGTTTCTATTGTAATCACAAACAACCAAGGGCTTTGTTTCTTGTTTGTTTCCTTTATTCACAACCATATGCATATCTTCTTTGGGTATGTTGATATCATAGTCACTCGGCCATCGTAACTGTGAGGTCAGCATTCTATTTAGACTGACTGGCAGAGCTGCAGGAAATTGAATGTTATGTTTACATGAACAGAGAGCGCATACTTTTCACAACAGCCCAGTACAATCAACATCATGCTGGCATGGTTCGTTCCATATTTCTGCGCCTTTGAAATTAAGCTTACAGCTTGGCGTATGGTATACGGCAAACCGCAGGTAGGACCATTTAAATATCCGCGTACCATGTACGACAAACCACGCTGAAGGGTTAAACAGAATCATAAATGTAAAAATATCCTTAGGATTAAGTAATACTTTTAATTACACTTCAGGAATAGCGTCGTTAGTTCATTAATTTGCTTTCCAGGGGAATCAGTGCCACAAATGAAGGAGCCCATTGAGAACCTTGAGCCAAGCCGACTTCTTGATTTGGAAACTGATGGAAAGCTGCATATTCTTTTTGGAGGCACTAAAGTTGTTCAACACACTCCACCTAGCAAAACATCCGCCGGATTAAGAGGTATTATAAACCCCTCTTATATAGATATCATATTCTTCCAGGTATGCCTATTAGATAATGGCTTCTCACCATTTTTAAGTTGCAAGATAAGCAGTCACACAGACTTAGGTTAAAAAGTGTTCTTGTCACCCATTGTCCAGCTCATCATCATCATGAGTATTAAGAGATTGTATGTTTCAAAGTTTTTTTATTCAGACTGTGATCTCTGGATTCTGCCACCAGGTAGATAATAAGAGTTTCAGAGGAACATGCTGTCTCCATCTTAGGGTTGAAGTGAGTGAAGTGAGGATTTGGTCAGGTTGTATAGGCAATGTGACATGAATGATGACAATTCAGGCCCATGGAAAGGGGAGAGGAGGCAGAGACCTGTCTAATCCAGTAGGAATAGTGAACAGGGAATTGTATGAAAACAACCCTTTTCAAGGCAACCATGGGCAGGTGCCAGAAATGAATGATGTTATAAAAGAAATATCATTCCTAAGGGTACTTTAAGAAATGACACAGGGGTTATTAGCAAAATAGGAGCACTCATTATAAAGACATTATCAAGAAAAAGAACTTTGTTGCAGAATTTGCTGGCTTGCAGAAATTGAGTGCCTTTAGCAAACAGCATTCTGAAAAGAAGTGAGAAAAGATCTCAAAATGGAGTTAAACAAAAAAGTACTTTTTGTAGTTTTTTATTTTGCAGCTCTGTCAGTATCTCAGGGCATATAGAATTGAATGGTAAGATGATTGATGAATAATTAATTGAAGAGGATTGAGAACGAAGTAGTTATGGCCTAATCAAGGTACTGTCCCAGCATTTGCGCGGAGGGGCTAAAGAAATCCACAGAAAATATCCATCGGGGTAGCCTGCTACCCTGAAATGAGCACCTCCCATGTACATGTGTAGATCTTATCCCTGTGACAGCTTGTTAGGTAGAATAGTGATGTTTCTAAACAAAAATAATAAAGATTTCTGATTACTGGATTTTTGGACTTATCCATCATCTAGTATCCTAAAGAACACACTGTTCTGGAAACTGGATCTGTTTCCATACACAGGTGAGGACAGGAACAGACCACCATCAGAACCCTTTAAAACATACAAAGTAATAAGTAATTTCCACATATAAGTAATATATTAATATGATTTCATTTATAATATGTATATACAGGATTTCAGACCCTGTTTCCCCCCCCCCCCCCGCCATCTAGTGAGAGATAGTTTAACCCATTATATTTTAATTTTGTACCATTATGTGTATAAAAGTAAAAGTAAAGGTATCCCTGTAACAGGCCGTGGAGGCCCATAGGGTTATGAGATGTTGAGGCTCCCACATTTTCTAGATAGTCAGTTCACAGATGGCGGTGAGGTTGTCAGCCTTATGTGCTGGCTGCCCTTTACCCCCAGGAATATTCCTCCGGTATGTGTATACTGGAACTACAGTCAACTCTTGATTATCCAGGGGTGGATTAACCGGGGGTACTGAGGTTTTTTTGAGGCTTATATATTGTTTAATATTCATTCACTTTTGTTTCATGTGGTGAGTTGTAACACTATTTTCGCACTAGTGTGAACCGAGCTCTGCATTCTTTGGTCCCATTATGCTAACACAATATTCTAGGGTACGGGTGAAAGAATGCAAGGATTTGTGGAAAGTTTCAAGGACAGATACACCGCCCCAGTTGTTCTCTTTGTATCGATCTTCAAGTGCGTTAGCAAAATGTCAGGGTGTAAAAGGAAGCGTGTTGTGTTAAGTATTCGACAGAAACTCGTGTGAGCCGGGCTTCGAAATGTTAAGCAGTGACGAAACCGTAAGTTCAGTGGGGGTGCAGCCAGAAGAGCGGGAAGAAAGTGAGAATGAGGAAGAGGTGGACAGTGCTGCTAGTAAGAAAATATCACATGGTGCTGCCCTTAATCATTTGGAATCCTTACTAGACTAGCTTGAGAGTGAAGACAACAGTTTATTAAGTGACAAGCTAATATTATGTAGGCTTCATACGGATATCCATAAAAAGGAAAATGCCGCGAAAAAGCAAACAACAATATTAATTCTTTTTAAGTGTTAAGTGTGAATATTCGTAAAAAGTGCTGGATGTTGAACACTGTGATTGAAATGACTAATTCACACTTCAGTATAATGTAAAAAAAAGTATTAAATAGGCCATGAGATGACATAAAAATGAGGCTGAGTAAATTTAAATACAGGTAGGCCTATAGTATTATGAAGGTACAGTATTACAGTACTACTTTTAATAACATTTGTCTTAACCGGGTTTTCGATTAATCGTGATTTCCATGTCCACCATTATCCCAGATAATCGAGAGTTGACTGTATATTGAAAATAGATCCATTGACTTTCTAAGGATACTGTAAGTGTTTTCTGTGTTATGATATCTGTTTCCAGGTTTTAAACAGATGTAATAACTTCTGTTCCTGAAAATACTCATTGTGTTTAAGATATGTTTTGACTCCTGTAGTATTCCTTTTTATATTCCATTATCCCCATCAGAGGTCTTCCAGAAATTAGTAACATCCAGGAAGTAATGTTGGTGTACCTCACAATGCTCTGTCATAATTCATAATGTGTTAATTGTAATACGTAGTATGTCTTTTTCTATAACCTGCTTGTTCCTGTATACATTAAAATAGAATATACTTGCTATCTCTTGAAGTCTAATGGGTTTGATTGAAGAAGTATTGAATTAACAGTTGGAGACAGATGATTCAGTCTTTTCATCTTATTTCTGTAAACAAGAATGTAAGAAGTGACGTATTATATCATGCAAGGTAAGTGGATGACAACAGCCTTACACTTGATTGATTGATTATTGATTCCAGCTCAGGATAATGGCTGTGTTGCTTATGTACTTCGTACTGGATTCAACACTTCACAAGGAAAGCTTTTGCGGACCATACTGTTCGGAGTAAAACGTGTTACTGCAAACAATTTGGAAACATTTGGGTTTATTCTTTTCCTTCTGATTTTTGCTATTGCTGCTGCAAGTTATGTGTGGATCAGAGGTAAGCTTAACCTTTATTGTTGTATTGTCTGAGAAAGGAGATTTTATATACCCTGCTTGCTTGGGGCTATTGGATTCCAGGATTAGAAATCTTCAGCAAGTTTTTTAGAGGTTAATCCTGTGAGGTAAAGTTATGGGTTGTGTCAGCCCTACTTTACAGGAGGGAGCATTTGACCCTACCACTGGAGTGTATGCTCACAAGAAAATCTCACTTTATATATAGTTCCCACAACATTTATAGATTGTGGAGATTGAAAATTGTTAGGCATATGGAGGTCTCAGCTTTTTTAGATTGATTCAAGAAGAATTTCTGAACCTTAGTTTGAACTTTTATTTTTTATTCTTAGACTCTGAGATTTTTTTTGTGATCGCGTCTTTTTTACACATTGGGTTGCGATGTCAAAATGAATAGATATATGTGCTTGATTGGAAAATGAGTTTCTTTCCCCATCTCTCTTAAGCATTCCATAACTGCTAGTCATTATGAAGTTGAGCGCTTATGTGTATGTATTTTTTAATCCCTTTTAACTCTTTGACTGGTGCGGGCATGTTTTAACGCCGGGGCGATGCCAGCCGTTCCTGGCGTTGGCGTGTTTTAGCGCTTTAAAAATCTCTTCCCTTATTTGCTCTCTTGGCTCTCATCAACCAAAGACATATATGATAGTTTTTGTGCATGGTTGTAAAGAACCCTTGTAAACTTTGTGGGGGTCTATATTACTGTCAGAACCCTCCGAGAAGGAAAAGTTCAAAAAATATTTCACATTCATTCAGTTTCACCATGGCTTCTCGCAGCAAGTGTCGGCGTGTTCCTACAGACCAGCTGGAAAGTGTTGTGAAGGAGATTTGTGCTGATGATGATAGTGGCGATGAAATAATGATTCCTGAATTAGATGAAGTTGATAGTGACAATAATACAGTGATAGATAATGATCCACAAGACAGTAATCATGAACATTTAGCTACCACGAGTGCGGTGCCTGACACGCCCATCTCATGGACGTACAGAGACATTGTACCAACAATAGTTCCATTTACCAGTAGTTCCG